TTGCGATCTGTTGAAGTACATTCAACAGGAGGTTGTACATACCCATTCGGAGGTACAGCTTCCGATTGATATCCTGATTGACATCTTGCTTCCGAATTTTAACTGTTTCGCAATCACTCAAACATGGCGTCAACTGACTGCTGTTTGATCTCTACGAGTGCTTCGGTGAGGCACTTTACCCACTGTTAATCGTTAGACTTGAAAACCAGGGTGTATCGTCTGGTCTGGTCGTTGTAGTAGGCAATTAAAGGGCTTGCTACCTGCCTTTGTATCACTAACTGTCAGATTCCACAGACACCAAGGTGTCATACCTTTGAGGCGCGTGTACAGTGGGGATAATGAGGGAATGCTGTTCTCTACTGCCCGTTGCAGATATTGTGCCCCTGCGTGACCTTTGTGGTTTGTTATCCCATATTGTGGAGGCTGCATGGTCAGCCAAATTAATAGCTTTATCAACGAACTTGTCTAGCACCTCTCCTTCCTTGATCTTATCGCACTAATATGCGAAGTTGTTTTTATTGACAAGCAAGTCTTACATTTCTTCTTCTGCAGACGTACAAAGGTATATAAAGCAACAAAATTTGGTGCATATTCTTGCGTATTTTTAAGCCCAACTTTCTCTTTTGCAATTAGGTTTGAATTACTGTTGCTACTACTTTATTACAATGTGGAATTGTGTTAGTTGCCCAAATTTTAAATTTTACTCTGTCCTTATCCATTTAGTGCATCATTAGAACCATAAGGACTGGAAAATAACAGCAATTTACGATTTGGAGTTTTTCTTTGTTTGCCCACTCTAGCATTTGATCTTCAAAGTAAAAGTGCAAAATACTGGGTTCTATTTTGATGAGATATTGCCCCAAATACCCCGATCTCGGTGGCAAATACTATCTCACGGCAATTCTACCCGGTAACTCGGTTCATTCTTTTCACCTTGGCTTTTCCTACTGACCCCAATTTTTGTTAAATAACAACTCCTGTGCGAGGTCATTTACAGTTCCACGATGTCTGCAGCATCAGAACTGTTGCCCAATTTATGTGAATGCTCAATTCAATGCAATGTTTAGGTGATATTTGACCTTCTAGTTAATAAAACGACTTTTGTTCCATTGTTCCCGATGCGCGGTTGCCTCCAAGAAGAATGTTTGTTCACCAGGGTGCTAGTTAGCAGCTCATTTCAATATGACCTGTCTTTTTATTGGTGCACTGAGGCCAATGGCTCTCTCACGTAACATCAAAGGCCAATCAGAAGAGGCGGCTTGTTCCTACGTCATACGCTAAATGATGCGATTGGTTGGGGCTTGGTGAAAACTAATCGCGCGTTTTGACGGCAAGCCTACCGTAGCGTTCACAGTCGAGTAGATCTTTACAAAATTTTGTCGCAGGCTTGCAGATCGTAGTCGAATGTGAGGCTTCGGTGATGGCAGTGTTGCCTTTTCTTCGTTGATATTGGCTTGACTGAGCAGGTCTCTTTGACGTCCCTCGGAATGACTGTTGAACCTGAGTTAGGCTAGTGCATTATTTTTGACTTTCATTGGCACAGTCGAGTAGATTTTATGATATTTGGTTGCAGGCTTGCAGATTGTAGGCGAATGTGGATACCTTCGAATTATTTTAAATACATTTGCAGGGAGATTTCAGGCCTAATTTTGTTTAATATTCAGTCAGTGTACCATTTTATTCTAAACGACTTCACCGCGAGTGCACTGCACATACACGGGTACTCGAGAAAAGAATGCACAGTCGTCTACGTTTGAAATGGTGCGTGATTAGACGGATGAAGTAGTGGGGTAGGGACTGAGCTGAGATAATCATTGAGTTTACATTGGAATGCAAAATCCTCTCATTACTAGTTTGGGAACGCGATACAGGGAATTCTGTGTAGTAGGGAAGAGGAGAGGGCCAACACTTAGATCATCCTTAAAATTGGTTGTTGTTG